GTCTCCTTTGAGGCAAGGCAGGGTGTAGAGCTAGGTCATCATCCTTACTCGGCCATGCTCGTTAGAGATCACGGTCAGTACGAAGCCCAGAAGATGGTTCTGTTTGGCTTCACATCCACATGTCCAAACTCTAAATTTAAATTGGAAGCCATCACAGCTACACTCGAAAGCCCCAAGCTCTAGCACCTCTCTTTTGAAACGATTGCAAGTGTTGCCAAAGCCCCAGACGCTTGGAGCTTGACCGCGGACCTTAAGCACGGACCTGAAACCTAAATCCTCTTCCCTAGAAGAGAAGGTCCTCATCCGTTTCGCAGCCTTCCGTTCCTACCGCTACTGCATGGTGGATGCCTGGTGCGCCCATCCCACATGAGAATCCTGAGATGAGCGGTTTCGGGTTTGTGGTTGAGGGTTTGGGATTTTAGGGTTTCTTTGGAGCCAGGTGGGATGAGCTAGAGCAAACACATGTCACGGATCAGGGGTTGGTGAGTTAGTCTGTGATCCATCTGTATCCAGGGTATTCTTGTATCGGGGCCACATGGAGACCCCAGCTTCTGTTGGCAGATACCTTGAGCGAACACGTGCAGAACGCCATCCCCTGCTGTATGGGGAGCTTGCTTTTAGCTTCTGCATGTCATCGCAGGCTATGCGTGCGATTGATCATAACTTCCATGCTCAAGTGCCCTTATTCAGCTGTCCTCCCTATGTTTGGTATGCCGTGAGAAGACTGGCTGCCGTCAGGGTGGAGCAACTAGGCTGTGAGTAGCTTGAAGCTGAGTTTGCGCAGGCTGTACGTCTATCCTCTGTGCTCCCGTGCGCTTTGTTTCGGAGTTGCTCTGGTACAACTAAGGAATTGCCATGATGGCGAGGTAGTAGCACCCTTGGGGAAGCTGTTGTCCGTGGCCACGCGCGGATCTTGCAGATGTTTTTGGAAGCTGGTGCCAGCAAGGACTTGGACTCCATCGTGGCAAGATACGAAGGGAACTTACCAGAGGTGGGTTTGATGGGTATTCTCCTGGCGCGTCCTCCAGCCCCTGCAGGTTCCACCACTTCCACGTCTCGGGCGTGATAAGCATGAGGAAAGGGGGGATGCTCCGGTCGCAGTGGCCGCATCTGCAGAGGCTGGTGCTGGTGATGTTGGAGTTTCGGCAGCATGTGTGACTTTGGAGCAAATTCCGTAAGGGTTTCAACTTGACGTCGGCAAGGTGCAGCTGGCGCAGGCTTTAGCAGACTCTTGAGTTCTTGGC